AATTATTTCTGTAGTTATTATTGCAGTTTGACCTCTTATGAGCAACAAACTTATTTTGTTATTTTTAAATATTATGTTATTTTTAAATGTTACCAAAATAACAAACCTATATTTGGTCATTTTTTCTTTAGAATACTTGTATGCATCTGAAAGAAACATAACTGTGCATGGATGTTATCCATCCTCTTCGCGTTTAATTCTGGCAGAGTGTTTCCAGAACTTGAAACATGATCTCCAAGGGCAGGAAAGGTAATTCAGATACTTGGAGTCCTACACTACATACAATGCATGATATGCCACAGCTTAGGGCAGTACTCAGAAAACTCTCCCCAAACATGGTCTTTAACTTGGTCAGCCCCATCACATCAGACAGGGAGGTATTTATCCAGACAGCAATCCAAGAACCAGACCATTAAACAATTTCAATGTGACTCCTGGAAGTTTTCCCTCCAGCACCCCCTTTTGTCCCCAGTGGCTCTCAAAGCACAAACAGGGCCTCATGCTTCATGTCGCATATACTGCAACACATCCAGCCTGCGCCCCGCTCCCTCCTTTTCTGCTGACCAGCATTCATACACGAATTTTGACTGGGAGCGCTGGCAATTGAACGTGTAAGGACAGGAGTGGCACCGGAGAAGGGCTCTGCTGAGCTCTGAGGAGTCGGGCAGCCTCTCGCGAGCCCACAAACACTTACATTCCTCTAGAGCCAGAGGCAGGAAGGTCCTGCAGCAATCCCAGTGCCAGAGCACAACCAGGAATCATTATTTTCCCTGTTCCAGCACTAACTGCACCCCTGTTGAGTTTGCCAGGAGACTTTCTTAGAGAAAGGAAGAAAGAGGGGTGAGGACAGTTGTTCATCTTTTTTGAACATTAAATAGAAGACATCCTCCATCTAACTGAGACAGAGAGAAGGACTGCTACGTCCACTTCTCTTACCCAAACAGCTGAAAGCCCCAGCACGGATCTGAATGCACTTGCCCTTGATACTGGGCCACTGACCTGCTTGGAGAGCAACAAGTCTGTAGAATTTCGTGCACCCTGAAAAATATTAATTAGGGCACCCAGCCTGGCTGTGGGAACAGCACAGCTGTAAAAATCCAATAGGAAAACCCTGGGCCAAATCCTGATGTTCCCTGTGCGGGGCTCCGAGCGAGGGCTCCCTTAGCAGTGCGGGACGGCGGAGTGCCGAGGCCCTTTCCCCAGGGCAGCCACCACTCGCGTGCTGTGGGGACTTGGCGGTGGCCCCGTGAAGGAAATTGAAGTGCCATGGTTCCCCCAGCCAGCGGGGAGAAGCTGCACTGACAGATTTCCCTGCTTCTGGCTGCTGCCATGGCTGCTCAGTGCCCCCCGTAGAGCCCACGGCTGCATACGCCCACCTTCCCCTGCATCTAATAGAGACTGCACATCAGAGGCAGTGGTAGGTAGGGAGATAAGGGGGAGAAGCTTTAAACATTGCCAGGTCAGCGCAACAGGAGGTAAGCAAGTACAGAGGCAGGAAGAACTACTGAAAGTTTTTGATATAGTCCTAGATGGACTCCCCAATGCCTGTAAATGTTTCAAAGGGGGATCCCCTTTCTGTGGGCATGGAAATGTTTCAAAGGAGCCCCAATCAGTGCAATATTTCAAAGACCTCTGCTCTGTAAAAATTCCACCCCAAGCCCCCCTTAGCTGAAAACATTTCTAAACAGATCCCTTCCTGGCTAACCACAGCTGAGGAGGTCTGTTCTGCTGCTTACAGCCCTCCTACAGGCCCCAGTGTAAAATGAAACAAAACATCTACCATATACCTCCTCTGGGGATGCATCCAGCCTGCTCCTTCCCCAGGGACCCTATGCAGGACCCAATGTGCCTCTGTGTTTGTGTGCAGGATATGAAGGGCTAGAGTGCAGAAGGGTAATTTTTCAAAGCATTGTGTGGGAGTAGCACTGGAAATTCCCTGCATACTGCTTTGAAAAAAATAAACCCCCTACCTCCATGAATTATGAGCAGGGCCTCTGACTCCAGACTGATGAGCCGAGAGGTTGAAGAGGGAGGCACAGCCAACTTAACTTGATGCACTTTTTAAGACTATGATGTAAGAAATAATTGAACCCTTTAATCATATTACGGACACTGATACTTAAGAGGTGTCGCTGCTACAGAGCAGGGATTCCTTTGTTGACAGTCACTTGAGCAGAATAAAACTGTAAGCAAGTGCTTAGGGTATCTCAACTATTGATTTTGTGTTTCTCAAAGTATGAGAAGAAAGTGCTGCTCAGAGGTCTTGGATTATCAAAGCCAAGAGGTTTTTTTACCTAAAAATTACATGTCAAGGCTAACTTCATTGTCTTGGCTCACTTCAAATTCAAAAGAGAGATAAAAATCTCTCCCTGGAAATGCTTATCCTACTCAAACTCTTATCTTAGATTGGTATCAATCATTCATTTTCCCCAGACAGCATCTCAATGACTATGTTAAAGCAGACACCTTAATTTTAGACAGATGCAAGTTCATTGAGATGAGTCCAACCCTAAGCTCCTGAGGAGGCACAGTCTGAGGGCAAGCTCTCCCCGCCCCCCAAGCACCTGTATGTTCACCCTGGGATCTCAGTGCCCTCTCAGCACAAACAAATCCTCATCTGTAGATCTTAAATTGACAACGATGACATTAATAGCCCCTGTGACACAGATCTGGGCTGCAGAAACAGCTATATTAGCTTCTTTCTCTTGCTGCCCATCTAGCTAGACTTGGTCTAACACAGAGAAGGGAGACTCTTGCACCCCTGATTTTATAAGCGATAAACCAGCCTGAATGGTAAGGAGGCACATGCCCATCTCTCCTGTGGCCTGAGTAAGGGATCAAGGCTCTCAGGCTTTGAACAGAGGGCACAGGAGCAAGTCCAAGAGACAATCCATCACTCTCCTTACTATTACTGACCCAGCACTATGCAAATTAACACCAAAAATCTGCACAGCATTTATTGCTCGAGAAACGGTGACATCTAGTCTCTCCTTTTCCCTTCAGTATTGCCCAGTAAAGAACAAATACCAACAGCAGACTCACTGGCAACACCTTTTCAGAAGCAGTCACGCGTCCTGAAGGAGAGGGGGCCCAAGCGCCTTGTGAACTGAGATGCCCAGAGTGGGAGGAAGCTTGGCTCCATATTAAA